GATCCAATAAGAGGCGCCAAAACGCCAATTTCACGATATCCATAACGCGCTTCCCAGCAGTAGTGATGCGTTGGTTCCAACAAGTGATGTAGGGGGTGGAACGAACATATTTGATAGGGGTCAGAAAGTGATAAAGTGAAGGGCCGATCAGAAGCCTGGAAGGAAACCCACAACATGACGCGTCAAGGTTGCAACTGAGGTGTTGCTTTGCAGATAGGAATATGTAGGTGGGTGGACGGGTACATATTTGAGGGGTACTAGAGAGTGATAGGAAGTGATAATTTCTGATAAGAACGTTAGAAGGATCGCGGAACTGAGAACGCGGAGTCACGAAATGCATGGAGCGCGACCCAGTAGCAGTGAGGCGTTGTCTTGCGAATATGATCTAGGGGGTGGGACGGAACATATTTGATGGGGACCAGAAAGTGATAACAGCTGATAGGGGCTGATAAGAAGCGCAGAAAGGAAAATGTCACTGAAGTTTTATCCAGATGTGAGATAGGAGAACATATCATTTTTGATGTCGTCGTGATCCATTCGACCGCTAATCTGCCCGAGCTTCTTCAATGGTCGGCGTCTGTGGAAATACGATAACTATTGGTATTTCTATCTCATCACCGGCATAAGAAGTTATTCGACCGCTAAACCATCCCAATATCCAAAGCATGGTAGATGTTTACGCTGAGGGCTGATAATAAGCAGCCCAAGTAATTGTATTAGTTATCCAAAGGTCATTCGGCTGCTAGACTTTGTTAGTCCCAGAAAAATGATGGATGTTTATTGGTATTGAAGAACTATGAGAAATTACTGCTTTATCATCGAATTTCCTTATTACCATCAGTCAAGTCCACTGTGCTACTCAATACAATAACCCGGCTATGCTCAGTTTCAATGAAGTCTGCCGTGTGATGAGCGCGAGAGCGGGCGGAGCAAAACTGGATGATGGTATATTATACAGTCCTCATGCGCTTAAAATATGCTGAAACATGCTTCAATAAAACACAGACGTGTACTTGGCACCACGATTACCTACCCCTACGAATCATATTCGATGCAGGCTTGCAGCACCTTCGTTACCTCTTCACCTTTGCCATAGGTGAACTTGTCAAAAACAGACGAGGCTTGCCCATCTGAACACACTAATTACTCATTTTGCTTTATTCGTTGAGCTTTCAACAGTATAGATCGTTGAAGAAAATACACTGGTTCACTCTGTTGCTCGCCACCTCGAGGTGGGAGCCAGCCTTGACTTGTCTTGAGCAGGTGGTACATGGCACTTGAAATTTTAGAGCCTACAACGCCAAGGGGTTGCACGAGTATGCGGGTTGTATGGGTTTTCCTGCGTAGTGTATTAGAGGACATATTCTGCACTTTTTGGTGGATTATTGTATGTTTGTTCCCGGTAAACGAATAAGGTACTTGGTCTGTTCCAGTGCTCGTTGCTGAGTGGCTGTTTATGGTCGACGCTCAAAGAAATCGCGCACGGGAAAATTTTGGCTCCACATTCACCAGAAATTGATCCTTAGCTCTTTCGCTTCATGAGGATAGCAAAAATACGAAAAATAAGCGTTGATTCTGACACGATTCTAAACAACCAGCGAAGCTACATATAAGAAGTTCGACTACCGCCAAGTTTCAAGCTCAAGCTGACACAAATGTTGGCATTAGGAAGTCAGCGTGTAGCTGTGTTGAAGGCGTAAACGTTAATGCGTTCCATGTCAAACCTCCTCAGAAACTCACACGTGGTTCCTGCCATACCCTTCGTTACAGAAAACCTTCCGGTGCCGCCTATCGTGACAGATGCCGTACTGCGGATGGGAATTGACATCTTTTGGTAATAAATCGGGGACTTGCCCTCTTCAGTGCAAAGACAACACAGGTCAATTATAATACACCAGATTAGTCCCCCGTCAACCGCCGGGACCTTCCTTTCCTGCGCAAGCTTTCTATCCTCCGCTATGGTCCCTTCCTCCTGTGACACCAACACCTCCTGGAAGTGACGCGTATGCAACACAATGGTGTTTCATACAGTAGAAGGGACACAATCATGATATGACGGTAGATTTTTCGCTTCCCTTCCTCATCCTCCCTTCCTCTCTCCACTGCCCTCCAGCTGCCACTGCAGCACCATGTGGAATGAACGGAAGTGTGCTAAGCAGGTGTTTATATAGCCCTAAGAGTGTTATCACAACTATCCTGTAAGCTACCCGATTTGTTAGCGGTTTGTTTATCCCATGAGCTTCCTTCTCACTCACTTCATTTTGCGGACGGACACACACATACACACACACACACACACACACATACAGATACACAAACCGACACACAAAGTTAGCGCTTTATAAAATAGAAAGGATTCATCGGTGGAGCCAACGGAGTTACAAAACAGTACAAGCTAACTGGCGCAGAATGAGTCCACCGTTCGCACCTTCGGACGCACTTTCGTCTCGTGCCTCTCCTGCTCTGTAATCAGATTGGGGTATCGGAAGTTCAGTTGCTTTCAGTGTGGACGCGCACACTGTTATGGTCGCATGACAGCCGACTCGACATTCCGAAACTGATTCTATACCGTTAGCGGTCTCAAAGTTTCAATCTTGAGCTTTATTATATAATGGATACCTGCCATGGTGATTGGACATGTAGACTAATGAAGATGTAGTGGATCAGAAAACTATTCGAAACTACTGTGGAAGACTTTGCTTCTGCGCCATGCTCGGCTCAGAGGCACGGGAATTATCTAGCTTTATTGAAGACACTCATTTAAACTAGGTCTAGGAATGAAGAAGGACTCGGAGATGCCAACCTTTGTTTTCCCCGTCTTTCCATTCCCTCTCAGGCTTCTATCCTCTACACCCATATGTTAGCATAAACGATTTTTTAATAGAGAACACCCTCGTGAGAGGTGAATGAAGATCTCTTCAATGATAAAAGAAACGTGAGAAAAGCACTCGAAAAACGGCACAAAAATAGCCGCTAAGTGTGGGGTCGTCTAGGTCGATAATCCCAATTTACTTCGTAGTCCTTCTCTGAGTCTCGGAGGTGATTACCTAGTCAGCCTCCAAATGACACGTGGTCATACTGAACCGGATTTTGCACTCACCTTTCCTGCACCATAAAGAATTTAGGTTGATTGTTCGTTGTAGGTAAGATAAATGTTGCATGTTACAGCATAAATATGGTGAACAAAATAATTGTGGCCCAGCCCGCTCAGGAACGTTGAGGTGGGATGTCAGTCACAGCAACGCATGACCGTTCGAACTTGTTAACATTTGTTGTTCATAATCGCCGCCTCAATTTTCCAATTCACTACAAATCTACCCTAAATAAATTGAGCCTTGCTCGCATAACATCCTTCAGAATATCATCTTCCCACTTTTGAGAGCAGCCTTTGGCGATCCATTCAAAGATTGTTGTTTAGTGCACTTCCTCAGGTTTGAAATCCAATTAATTCACTACACTCACGTTGAAGGTTTCGGTTGGCCAAATTTTCCTCAAGTGCTTATTGGCACGACACACAAGCAAATGGTAACTGACATGTTTTCCAGACAATCTTCCTTAACTCAACAACCCCACGTGACCGTGACCAACAACTTATTCTGTGGATAAGATAAAGTCGCTCGCGAATACCCGCAGTTGTGCCGTGATCGCGGCTTGAAAAAGCGCGACAACGGCGCCGGGTCCTTACAAAGTGGGCTTAATAACGGCCAATGTGAGCTAATGGACGAGATATCTCGTGCGCTCCTATGACACGCAATGTGGATTATGACGTAGCGGCTACCTTGAATACCGCGTATCAGTAGAACCAAAGTCCAGACAACTCCTCCAGACAACCCCTTCCTTAATTCAAGGGGATGTGAGTGGATTGTTTGAAGGCAGCGATTACGATAAAGAGGGAGCGCATCGGGGAAGCACCACACGAATCAGTTACTTGGCTGCCAGGGAAGCGAGTGTAGCGCTTTCACGACGAAAGGTGCGCTGGTTGCTGAGCAGGACTTCGAAAGCACTCCGCCCCAAAAGCGATCCGCCCACTAGTTTACTTGGTGATTTGGACGAGCTGCGTTGCCAGCAGCGGCACAACTGGAGCATCTCGATTGGAGCGTGGTTTGGCATGGTGCCACCAATGCGTTGCGATGAATTCATACGTCCGCTTTCTGAGCTGTTACCTGTTCATGAGTGAAAACCAACGGCCAAAAAAGGGGTCCCGTTTTGCGTTTTCTTGACGGATTTCTCCGCTTTTTTCGCCACTGGCGTACCATTGAGCACCACCAGTCTCCTCTAAACCCTTTTGCAATCTTTTATCTTTATTTAGGGTACACTTTTCGAATCTATCGCAATCGCTCCCTTTAAGGACTTTTCTGTGGTTTGCTTCGCTTCTTTTCTCGTAGTCATCTCACATCCAAAATTCCATTATCGCCGGCTCTTACCACCCCCTAGTTTTGCTTTGCGGAAATTATAAAATCGGACTCGTAGTAGTTAAAGCGCTTCCAAAAGATTTGCAGGTGAGCGAAGAGCTAAAGCTCGGCAGCCTTATACAACTGATTACCTTATGGTGGGATATCCCGGGATTAACAAGCGATTTCGTCTTAATGGCTAACGGAAAAGTGCTTCCATTTGACGAAGACGCTACACTACAGGTACTTTGACACTATCTTATTTTCTCATTACATATTTATACATATCCGCTAATTAAGGAATGCGGTATAAAGGATGGTGAGAGATTAGCGCTGAAAGAAAGGAAAAAGTCTGATACCCTCTGTACCACCGTATGTTCGAAAGACAACATTGGCTTATCTGAGCGCTGTAGGAGCACAACAATTTACTATTATATTTTCCATTCATGGCCATTGGAACGAAATGATTTTGAGGTTCTCTGACGGCAGAGCAGAAGCTGGAAGAGCAGTTTGTGTCATGGAAAAAGGGGCGAAGTCTGGACGAGTTGAGAGCTTTTAATTTCTTCATTAACATCTCGTTGATCTATTGCTCAAATAGTGGTTTCCAGA